ATGCAAATTAATATTTTGTTCATTTTTCAAATATTTCAGCGTTCCAGATAGACTCAATTTCATGTTTTGTTCATTTTCCAATAATTCTAGCGTTCCAAACAAACTCAGTTTCATATTTTGTTCATTTTACAATTATTTTTGCGTTCCAGACAGACACAATTTCATATCTTACTCATTTTCAAAATATTTTTGCGTTCCAGACAGACGCAGTTTCACATTTTATTCATTTTTTAATTACTTTAGCGTTCTAGATAGACTCAATTTCATATTTTCTAATTTCTTTAAATATTTGGTCTTCCAGATAGGCAAATTTTAATTTGTTCCTAATTTCTAATTACAATTGAGTTGCCATTTTAATTTAGTAATTAATATTTAATAAATAATTTTATATTTGGCCTAATTTCAGTTATGTATATAGCTATATGTATGTCAAATATAAAAAAACTATAATATAGAAATTATTTTCTTAATCTTGTATTTGTCGTATTTAAATAAAAATATTTTAAATAATTTTTTGATTGAAAAGATTTCTATTTTCAGAAAATTTTCTTATTAAAATGTTTAAAACATTCACAATTCAACAACAAAAAAAAATTAAAATCAAAAATTATATAACAATAATAATAATGAGTATAAAAGTTATATATATACGTAAGTATATAATTATATAATAAAACTAATAAAAGATGAAAATTTCCACTAAATTTACCAGATTAATTGGTTACCATCATTGTATACGTATTATATTATTTTCATTCATCATCATCATCATCATTATCATCATTGTCATCATCAGTAACATTTCTATTATATAAAAAATTTTATAATAATCATTTACCATTAATATACATATATAATCATAGTATAACAGCATAGTATGTATACCTATATATCCATTTCATATCTCATGACATAACCTTTTAATTGGCTTTATGAGATGAGAGAAAAAAAAGATAAAGGAATAAAAAAGATAAAAATAAAAAAATTAACAAGAAAAAAAATTTTTTTTTCTCTCCCTTTTTTCTTGTTTTTGTTTTTTCTTTTATACGTTTATCTTTTTTTCAGGAATGCAAGGACATTTTTTTATTGTTCTCGTTCTACTGTTTGTTTACTCTTTTTGTTTGTTTTTCTTTTTGTTCTCCTTTTCTTTTCTTTTCTTATAATTGTAGTATTTTATAAAGCCAGGATCATTATACCAAATTATTATCATTTTTTTTTATTCTTTTTACTTTCTTTTCTTAAACATTTCATTTACTTATTTATTCTTTTATTTGTACACAATTATTATATATATAGAGAGAGAAAGGACTCTCAATACTATTATTATTATTATTGTTATTCTGCTTTCTTATAACAAAAAATTTTATAAAGAAAAATTAAATGAAAACAAAAAAAAAAGAAAGAAAGAAGAAACAAAATCCTAAAGGATTCTTTTATGTTGAACGAAACGCAACAATGATTTTGAATAAAAAAAAAAATCTTTATGTGTGTATATATGCATAAATTCTTTTAGGTTCAAATAATTATTATAATAATATGTAAGTAAATATGCAAAAATATATGTACCTATGCATATATATTCAAAAATCAAAAAAAAAATATTAAGATAAGATCTGTACTTCTTGCAACAAAAAAAAAAAAGAGAAAAGAGGAATGTTTTCCTTTTTATTTTTTTTCTCTTCCATTCTTATATATTTTTCGTTTTTGAAAACAAAAATTGCCACGTGACTTCCGTTTTTCAAAGCTATTCTTTTTTTTAAGGTTAAAAATGAAATTTAAAATATATAAATATAGCTATTTATGTAAAATTACAATATTACATGAATTAATATACATGCATGTACACAGGCCCGTTCTCACTTGTTCAGCGCCCTAAGCTGCTTCCAAAATATGCGCCAACCATCCCACTCCCATCAATCCGCTTGTAAACCAATGAAAATATACAATAAACATTACACATTTCGCATTATAAATCGCTTCACTTTCTTGTATAACTTTATCATGTTGAACACGAGATTAGTCATAGAATTAAATCCTGGAAATAAACTTTCAGATTTTCTGTTTTACAATATCAAAATTTAATTGAGCCAATTTTCCCTGTTAATAAATAGGAAAAAAAATGTTTTGGAAAAAATTAGAAAAAATAGTTCAATTTTTAAAATTAAATTTGAAAAAATTTTCAATTGCGCCCTAGGTTTCCAGCGCTAATTGTTGCTTTACATATATGTATATGACAGATCCGGCTCTGATATATAAAATTTGTTTCTATTGATATTTTTTATTGAGAAGATTATAATACGTTTACATTATTATCCGTTTTTATAATATTTCTTCATTTTGTATTTTGTCTTTATCCATTCAAATTTATTTACGCATATTTTCGAATATACTCTATAATTCTATATATATTTTTGAATTCATTTAAGAAGGTCTTTATATATAAGTAAATAAGTTTAAAAAAAAAAGTGAAAAGGCTAACAGTTCACTGCATGTGACTATAAACACCTTTATTCTACCAAAACAAAGCAAAAACTGCCTTGATATTTACAATATAACAAGTATAGTACTCATATAATAATATATTATTATAACACTTATTGTAAATGTAAAATTATACTCTTATACTTGCTGGATTATAATATTATCATGCTGTTGCTTTAAGCATCATTTATTTCACCTCTGGGTACCAAAGTGAATACTTACTTTTTTTTCATTTTTTTTTATTTTTGTATAATGTAAAAAATCTATTGAAAATTAATAAGGTTTATAATTGTAGCACAGTTACTATTGCATATAACATTTGTATAAGAGAACAATTTACAGAATCGAAGAAAAATTATTGTACAATATTTACATGACAAATAAAAATTTTGTTTTCTAAATTAAAAATTTCATATAAAAAGTAAATATAATTCCATTATTCTTACCATTCCTTTTGAGAGTATGTAATATTTTAAACGTATAAAATTTTGGTGTGTAAGACTCTCAGCTACATCAAAAAATTGAAAATTCTCAATTGAAGCGATAATGAGAGCATTATGAAACCTTGTAACCCGATATTAAAAGAGTAGTTAAGACGAGCCCGCACGAAATCTAATTAATATTAATAGCTGGGTTCTTTTAATTAAAGTATAACACTTTTGATGTATAAAAATTTTCATATAACATCAATATTACTTTATATATTAGCGTAGATATTTACCTTGGTTTGTGTCTTAAGTATAAATTGAGATTGAATTGATCAAGTTCAATTCAAGAATTCAGCCACATTAAATCATTAAACATTATTCAGCTATGCTTCATGTTGAAATAGAATTTCAAGATTTTAATTTGCAAGTTAAAAAGCTTTAACTTACATGTTTGAGCGCAAAGTCAAGGTCGTTACCACTGCTATGCTTACTGTGTTAGCCAATATGTAGATTTTTATGTACTCAAAAAAAAAAAATATTGTTGTGAAAAGGTTAACGAACTTGAACGTTTTTTTTTCTTTGTTTTTTTTTTCAAATATTTCTCTTTCAAATTTTCGAAATACTTATAATTATTAGAGTAAATAAAAAGTTCAAACTAAGTTTAAAATGTTTACATAACTTTGCATACTAGATTAAAAATTGTGTATAAAAAGAAACAAAAATTGTGAAAAATTAGAAAAAATTAGATTTAATTAGATTTATGCGTATGTACGAATTTTGGTATGAATGAAAAAATGAGTAAAAATATAGCATTGGAAAATATAACAGAAATTTTATACCATCGCGCACAGTGCTATACTTAAATGCAAATAAGTAGTATAATAATTACTATTTGTATTGAGTAATAATTTTTAATGTAATTTACTTTTGAGATATACAAGAAGGTCACCAAAATGGCAAAATGCGTTTTCTTTTACAATTAAGAAATTATTGAAACTGTTCCATCACAATCAGGTGTGAAATTCATACAGGTATCTATGTATGTATTGGCAAAGCGATGATTAAATTTTATTTGTTTTATAAATTACAATAAATTTCTTTTATGCTTTAAATACTATATGTTTAAATTCCTCATTCATATATAGATTATCAAATTTTTAATGCTTTTATCAATTAAATTTTATTTAAAACTTACCCAAAGAACTATTTCTGGTTCTGAACCTCTGAATTTAGATGAGAGTTATGTAAAATGTGTTCTGCTTCTCATAATTTTAAGAATTCAAATTTCCATTTTGATAATAAAGCTTTAAACCATATTGAATTGTTATACTTCATTATAAAAATAATTAATAAAACAAAATTTTTCAACCGCATTCAACTAAATATATTGTAATTTATTATTATTTTTTATTATTGCTTTAAAATTTCACATTTTAATATATATATATTTTAAATAATGAAAATAAAATATATTATTTATTTAATTATACAAATGTTATTAAAATATAAAAGTTATTTTGATCAAAAGTTTAAGGTACATTGATTAATTTCTAATATTTATTAAAAAATAATTTTTTTAAAATTTTCATATAAAATACACAAAATTTTTTAATAATATCTCACATATTAAGTACAATATATTGGAAGTAGGTGAATTAAGAAATTAAAATTATTAAAAATTTGATGCAAACCTGGGCCACATCTTAAAACTTATTCAATATTTTAATAAACAAATTGTTTAATCTTATTATTTTAAATTTTCTAATCAGGGTTTTGAGCATTAACCGAAATGGAAATAAATTTGCAATCTATTCAAGAATTAAAATTACAATGCTGAACAATTCAAGTTGAGCTAAGTATAGATTTGCATTAAATTTTCAATTGGGTAGATTTAATTTATTAATTTTAAATTTTCTTAATAAAAATTACAATTCTGTACACATATTATATTTCTTATAATTATAGAAAATATTATTTAGGAAATTAAGGCATCTTTTATTGCTATAACAGTAAAAGGCAAACTTATTTAAATATGAGTATTTAAATTAAATTTTAATAATCTTAAACCCTGACTTCAAAATTGCACTACTTATGTATAAGAAATTATTGCAGTTTCGAGGCCAGAGTAAATATCAAAAATTTCCTTTTAAAAATTCATTTAAAGCCAAAAAGTTTTTTTTATAATATTAAATATTATTTAACATATATGTGATTAATTAATTAAAAAGTAAACATTTTATAAATTTATTAAATAGTAAAAAATTATTTCTCTTCAATTTTCTCTTCACATCTCTTAAAACCTATTATATGTCTTAAAAACTCTAAGTTCTTTTAAAATATTCACAAAAATTTATCACAATTTTTATCAATGGAAATAGAATCCATTGATTAATTAATTGTCATTTAATTAAAATACTTTCACTTTTTGATTTTGTAATATTACGATTTGAATTATCTTTAACACTTTGTTTTCTTATACGATTTAATAAAAAACTCATAAATGAATGAACTAAATATCTTGGTATTTTATAATCTAATAAAGTTCTACCATAACTCTTAAAATTAATAATTCTTTGTGCTTTAGCAGATAATTGATAAAATTTATCATTATTTAAACATTTCATCCATTCTTCTTCATAATCAATATAATAAATTTTAATACATTCTGTATTACTTAATTGTAAATTAGAATGAATTTTCTTTTCCAATTCATTCATTTCAATATTTGTTATATTTAAATTTATATTTTTATTAATATCTAAATCAGATTGTTTTATTTCATTTGTTATTGTTGTTGTATATTTATCAATTTTATGTATTTCAATAATTGGTATATCAATTGTATATCGAAAATAATCAATTGTTTTGATATCACGTAAAAAAATATTAACATCATCAATATCATTTTGATTTAATATCGAACGGCATAATAATGCTTTATCATGACCAACTTTATATTGATAACCAGGTAAACCGAGTACTAATTTAACTGAAAACAGTTGTGATTCATAATCCATATGTGGTAATATTTCACCTACACCATCTAACATACATTGGGTCATTTGTTTAAATTCCGGTAATTCAATTTGTATTATTGGTATTAGAACATAACGTATAAACATTTGACATAAAATTTCTAAAACATCAAAACGTAATAGACAAATATTATATTTGTCTTGAACACCAAGTAAATTACATAAAACAGCCCATAAATGTACAAATGCTTCACGATCTTCTTGATTATCTGTATGAATACCTAAAATATCAGCCCGCACTAAAACTAATCTGTAATAATATAAAATAAACAAAAAATTGATAATTTTTTTGTACTTTTTTCGAAAAAAAATTTTCTTTTGATATTTAAATATATGAAGAAATAATTAAATAGGAATTAAGACCGAAATTTATTTTGCATACATAATTACATAAGTAATTTTGTATTTAAAGGGTCTATTCAACTACTATTCAATTGACTTACCCCATAAAACCAAATGCTGTTAACGATAATTCAGTTTGTGTTATATGACCAATTTTCTTTTCATTAGCACTATTTGATGCAGCAAAATGTAATTTTCTTACAGTAGCCAATGATTTCCGAGATCTAAAAATTTTAATATAATAATACAATTATAAAAATTGATATAGAAAATACATACTCAGAACCGGGTGTTAAATCAATTTCATACCACTTAAGTGTATGTAAAACTGTGCTTAGGTAACGTTTTTTAGCTGTTTCTTTTGTACTTGATTTACCAGTTGATGATAAAATTTTTAATCCTTTCGGTTCAGCTAATAAACATATTAAACCAATTAAATTTGATGTTAAAATTCCAGAACGATTTTCTTGAAAATATTTTTGTCCACGTTTATATTTCTCTTCATCGTACCATGATGGTAAAACATCAATATTATCAATATCACATGGTATAAAATATGCTTCTTTATAATATAATCTAAATTGTTGTTTTGCGACTAATTTTTATAAGAATAAAATAAAAATTTTTAATTAATAACATAAAATATTATTTTGTTCAAATTTTTATAATTAAATAAATAATTGACAAATAATTAACAATGAAGAATTGCCATATGTACAATATTATAGCATAGCCTATGAATGCCAAAATTTACTTAAATCGATATTAGATTAAAATCGATACTATAATTAGTAAATTTGTATCGTATAACATTTCCTTCCTACACATCAATTCAAAATGAGTGTACAATTTGCAAAAAAAAGTTCATGATCAATATTAAGTATTGTACTACATTATTTCTGCCAAATGAAAGTTCATAATATTAAATGGTTCGTGTCCTTGCTTTACTTTAATAATATTTGCACGCCAATTTCAATAACACAATATTTGCGAATACATACATATTTTATAGCAAAAACAAAACATTTTTTTTTTAAACTGTAAACAATACAAAAACCAGGTAAACAGGTAAACTAAAACTTTAGTATTATTTTTACTAACTTCCTCTTTTTTTTTTTAAGTATACTAAATACAATAATCGTTTAACTCCAAATTATAATAAATTAAATTTTTTATAGATTGTAAACAAATTAAACCCACATAATTATGTTGTACACAGAAAAATTTTGATTCTCGAAAAATATAAGAGATTTTTATAAACTCAATACTGCAAAACAATAACTCCGAAAGGCAATAGTGTAAAAACATAACGTGATGAACAGTCAATACATTTTTAATTATTCTACAATGTCAAACCCGTTCATATGATTTAACTGAGCGCTACTTGTACCAATTTCATTCTCTTGCGAAAATTTTACAATATTTATAAACATAGTAAGTGAGTAACATTAATTGCTTATGAAAATAAATATAGCGCTGTTTTTATTATATAATGCGACATATTTCGTTTATAGAAAGATTTATAATCGTAGTTAACAAAATATGAAAAATTCTTGCATATTTTATTAACTACATAACAGAAATAACAGAAGTAAGAAATTGAAATATTTATGACATTATTTTGAAGTTATTATGAATGAAAATCTAACAAAAACGTAAATGCAATGTGTCACAATATAAATTTTTCTAAGATTTATTAATGACTTTGTACTTAACCTATGTACAAACCCACAAAATTCAAAGTCAAAACAATTTTTGTTTTTAAATCTAAAACTTTTTGCAATTATTGGTTCATGGCTTTTAAACGTTTAACATTTTCCACAACCCAGCTTATGTTGTGAAAAAGAGAAAAATTAAAAAAAAATTTAAGATAACCAGTTTAGGCAAAGTCAAGGTTAATTTTTATTTTGAGTATATAAGATTGAATGAAAACAAAAACAAAAAATATTGTTGCGCTCGAGACGCTTAGTAATAATGAATTGATTTTTTTTCCCGGTCCTGCTCTTCTTTTAGTTTATTGCTCTTTTAATTTGCATAATATTTTTGTTTGCTAAAAAATTACGATACAAAATAAATCTACTTTGAAATTGGAATCTAAAAAATTGTAATAAATTAAAATTTTAGAAAATTTTTCATTTCAATGACTCCATGGAGGTTTACATTTGCATTGCTATAATTAAAAACAAAAATTGTCAACATTTTGAAAAATGATTTTCAAAAAAAAGCAAAAAAGAATGTAGTCTTAAGAAAATTTTAATTGTGTTTAATTTGCTTTTTTATTTAGCCTAAATTATAGAAGGTCATTTATATTGCATGTACAAAAATATCTTAGAAAATAATTTGATTTGTAATTATACAACCTTAATTAACTTTAGTTTACTTTTATTACTGTGGAAATTGTACAATAAAAGAAAACTTTATGTATATAAAAGAAAAATAATTTAAACAAAATCAGTCTGCGCAAAGGTCATAAGAAAATGTTAAACAAAATTAAAACAAAAATAAGTTGAAATGTCGTAAGAAAATCTAATATCGTAATTGTACTAACTACACTTTTTTACTAATTATTATGATTTCCCTTCACTAATATTACGCTTATATTATATTACAATTTTCAAAATGAACTGTTATATAGTTCAATGCAATTAAACGGTATTATGTTATAAGAGCATTAAATAAAATATAACCGTGCAGTGCATATTGGCATTTTAACGAAATGCTAATCTTATTTTCAATTACTTTATTATGTTGCTGAAACTTTTTTATAGAAACAATTCACTTGTATGAATTGATTTGTCTTTACAATAATAATATCGAATTATTTACGATAATTAGTACTATCACTTAGTGATTCGATATTCAAAATGAGCCCCATCTTTTATTCATAGAAATATCTAATTTTGGATTTAATATCATAAATGAAATTTTTTACAGGATATTTACAAATTGTCCGTATAAATTTCGAAATACAAATTCTTTTACCATGTATTTAGTGAATAAAGAATGGCATAAATATGCCAAAGTTGTATAATATTAGTATATACCACATGTATAGTTAATAAGTAATAAATTCCACAATTAGGAAGTCATTCTAATATACAACAAATGTATATACATAAATTAAAAAATAAATAATTATTAAACATTAATTAGTTTAAACTTACGTTTTTCTGCTTCTGTTAATTCATATTCTTCTAAAGCTGGCATTTTTATTTGTATACGATATAATGTATATATAAGTATGTATATTGGTACTGGATCTAATTTAGAATTTTAAAAAGTAATAGGTACACTCACAATCCAAAAATTAATTATTTGTTCAATTTATGCATATACATGCACAACATATGCTTTGAATTGCTATAAAATAAAAAAAGTAAAAGAAAATATTTAAATTTCTATTTTATTGTAATTTAGGTCTAGTATTTTAAAATTTTTGTTTTTCAAATAGTGAAATGCATGTTGTTAATGAAAATATTAAGATATATTACATTCTTAAGGTTACATAATATTCGTAAAAGTACCGTTATAATCGAGCGAAAAGCAAAAAAATTGCGGAAGTTTTTATTTATCGTACATTGATTTGCAACGGTGTAACTTTTGATTTGTTGTAATCACCTTCACCTTCACTTTTTTTCTTATTATTGTTTAAGAAACAAGATTCTGTTGTTTATTTTTTTTAACAGCTAAAATTGTAAATAAATTTTATTACCGGTATACATCATATAGGTTTATACAATATTTACAACCTCAAATTAGGTGAATAACCTTTAATATAATATTATTCAGAAAAACCGAAAAAATTATTGTAAACGAACATTATAACACTTAAATATATTATGTATATGCGGTATAAATAACATGCATATAGCATAATATATATGATTTTTTTTTTTATAGATGCATTTTTTTACTTCCGGAACCATACAAAAATTCTTGAACTTAATTAAAAATTTTTATAAAATTTAAAGAAAAGAATTTTGATTCATGGTTAAAATAATGTTATATACGATTATCGTATATTCGATTATATAACATTATTAAGTATTATTATTGTGAAATAAAGCAAGAAAAAATATAAAAAATTATTAATTGACTATAATTTTTAAATGATAAATAACTTGTAAGCTTTAAGTCTTAAGATTTAAGATGGTCATTTAAAAATTTTGAAATATAGCCTATGTTTAAATTTTAATCTACAATTAAGAATTTAAAAAAGAAGGCAGAAAAATGCAAATTTGTATTTTATTTTAATTTGAATTTAAAAATCAATTGTATTGCGCCATTTAATTTTTAATTCACAATATTCTATTTAAATATAATTGGCTGGGAACATTCCAAAACAATAATTTTAAGCCAATTTTACGTAAACGTCGACCGGAATATCCCCAATAGCAAATTCGATATTATTTTGATGAAATTGATACCGGTTATTCAATATAACAATAAAAAATGATTTTATATATGTGTACACTCACTAAAAAATATATATATCAAATATAAAGCATACCCAAAGAAAATAATTTTCCTGTGTCGGAGAAAACAAACAGCAAAAAAATTCGCAAAAAATTTTTGCACTAAAGACTTTGGTTTTTATGGATGTTTTCAAACTAATTACTTTAATTATGAATTATGAATAATTAAAAAATAATGTAGGTTAATAAATATATATTAAAATCCATCGTGTTACTTAGAACAAAACACATTATCGTATATATTTCAATTATTCATAAATATGAATATAATTTACGATATCTTTAAATTAATCACATTTCCTATTATGAATAATTGTTTTCTTATTCTTTTATCATAATTACAGTATTGCATATGAATTTCTTTTTTGAATTTATTATTATAGAAAAGCTTTCTTTTATTGTGATAAGAAAATTCAAGTAATAACAATTATGATCGTTTTATATTAAGCTTCACAAGTTTTCTTATATTATTAATTATATAAGGAAATTTGCAAAAATTTTTCTGGCATCTCAAAGAATTCTCAATTCAAAATTATACAACAAACTAATTTTCATATATGTGTATACGACATACGGTATAACAATTAACCAATATTTAATAATTTGGCAAAAAGAAATTATGATAACATTTATATACGTTCACATATTCATATATAAATAAATTCGATATCCACAAGTTCTTGACTTATACCGTATGGCATATTTGATAATAACTAATTTGCAGAGCACGATTTTTTTCAAATCAATAGAATTGTTAATATCTTTAAAAAGAAAACAAAATATTCTTGAATTTTTCTTTATTTTTAATTAGTTATATATAGCATGTTAACTAGAATTATAATTACATGAAGAAAACATCTAAAATATTGTCTAATAAATTTAATTTAATTTTAATTTGAATTCTCTCTCTCTGTCAGTCTTTCTCTCTCTTTTGCTGTTGTTTATCTTAACTGAAATTTCAGGCTCTAAAATTGTTAACCGAATCTACGTATTAAATTTAGAATACAATTAATTATAAGCTCAATTTTTAATTCACGCGATCATTAAATGAAAATAATTTTTATCATAAATGTCAATTATTATTTTTGTTTTTTTTTTTTTTGCAATATCATTTATCAAAAGTTGCTGCACATGCATTTTACATGTGCCTATGCTACCATTAGTTTGTTGTACCTACACATTTTTAATTATTGTGAATAATTCACATTCTAATTCTCAAAACATGTGACACTTTTATTATAATAAAATTTTGTTTATATATTTCAAGATTTTCATTAATATTAAAAATTTATTAATTTAAGAATATTATACTCTTAACTAGATTATAACAATATAAGTGTTATATACCTTATTGAAAATGTTTATTCAATATTATTTTTTTAATACTTTTTAAACCTGACTTTGTTAAAGATCAAAGAACAACTAAAAACTGAGAATTAAACATAACTTTGATTTGGTTTTTATATTTTAAGTTTTTCTTATTTTTTTTTTAAATTCTCTTTTAGCTTAATTATACAATATATTATTCCAATGTGATTTAAAATATATGTATATAAGAAAGAAATAAAACTATTCAAATGACTAAAAAATATTGGTAAAATGTGTTATACATGTATATGTATATCGAAATTTTAGAGGTTAAATTTGTACAAATCACACTGAAAATGGAAAAATTTTTGTATATTTTCTTTTCTTTTAGAAAAAAAATTTTTTTAGCATTAAAGATTTTGTATTGTACGAGTATAGACAACGCGAATTATAAACCATTATTTTTATAGTAACTGGTTTTATAAAAATAAAAATATATTCCTATACATTCATAATAAAAAAGTAGTTATATTCTTCATCTCTATTTTAATTACAAAAACAAGAAGTTGCAAAAAAAAATCTCAGAAACGAGAATATTTTTTATATACATAGGCACTGAGTAACTAACTATACAATATTATACAATTAGTACTACAACAGTTGTAGTAGTAAAAGTAGCAAAATTTCTTTTAACAATTCTGAAATATTTCAAATTATTTACGGTAAAATTTCTCAATGAGACATGCCTAAGTAAATATTTTAAGGAACCAAATAGAGAAGAGCATTTTGATTCTCTTAAATCAAGTCAATCAAATATATAAGTATAGTTGTAAAATTTTAGTTTGAATCTTAACACTGGTATAACCACATAGCAAACAAAATTTAACGGTATTGAACAAAAACACAAAATTACAACATTTCATCACACATGAAATCAAAAAAAATGTTATTAAATTCGCAAAAATATAATCAAAATAGACAAACAGTTGAACAAACAGAAGTCATATACCTACTTAATAAAACGTCCCATTTTATCTATTACGATAATAAATTATAAAACTGTTATAATATTAATAATAATAAAATTTTCGAATGCCAAAAATATTTTTGAACCAAGGATAATCAAAGCAAACAGAAGTTCACAATTAGGTACAAAACAGAACTTAACAAAAAGTGTCATTTTATCGTTTACGATAATAAATTAAAACTGTTATAATATTTATTCTTGTTCGGAAATCTATTTTTATTACAAAAAAAGTTTGATTAACCCTGTATGTTGTGTTTGGTATAAGAAGTTTATCTATATTAAATAATTTTGCATTATTTTGCAAATAATTTTTTTTTATTTAATGTTCTTTATAACCATAATAAAATGCATTACGAAAAAAAAAACTTGCATATTTTAATACACCTATAGAAACACGTTTCTTGCATATATTAATTATATACCTATGCCTTATAAATAACTACTTTAATGGTATATCTAGTTATATGGGTATTAAACTGTGTTGTATACATTCCAAGCAATTATTTTTACATCAAAATGTAAAATCTTAATTGAAAGTATTATTAAAAAAAACTCAGGCTGTTTTTTACTTTAAGTTTAAGTTATTAGAAAATTTCTTAATATAAATTATAAGTTTGAATTATAATTATTGATATGTCCAAATCAATAACTAACTACTTAGGCAATGAAATTACAATTATATACCATTATTAAATTAGATTAATTTTATATATGAGATCTTATTAGCGTATACATTGCACAAATTCCATATAGTCCATTTAGATTTTCTATTAATATTAATTAAATCCAATGCGAATTATAAACATAAATTTTATTTAATGAAATCAATAATAATATTCATTTATAAGCTCATATTAAAAATATGTTCTTTAAAAATATCCTATATATGTATATATATATCTTATATCTAATAATATAACAAAGAAATTCCATTTACTCGGCGCCAATTTACATATTTTATTGTTATACAATTAGCATTAGAATTTACCATTTTATTCAATATGCCTAATTTTACATATTGTGCGAGTAAAATTTTCCAATATTTTAACCTTATCATTATTTATTGGATTTACAAGGAAATTCTGTTAAGTCATCAAATATAAAATATATAATCATTGATGATGGTTAACGATATCTTTGTAAAATTAAAATTTTCAAAATTATTAAGCAAAAAAAAAAAAATTTGTTTAAGGAGTAAAAAATCATTGCTTTGCTCATAGTTAGTGCATGTACTTTATTTTTCTTTTTGTTAAGTAAAGAATTTAAGAAAACCCACCCAATTAATATGACAATGCAAAAAATTTTTTTTTTATTTTTTCTTTAATTTTCTATTAGCCCTAAAGTTAAATCCGGAAAAATAATTTTTCTAATCATTTCCTGATTGTTTTTCTTTATCTTACATCGTATATACTTACTATACTCATATAATAATATGTAAATATGTCGGTATCTTATTAAAAAAAAAAAAATTTTTCTTAAAAAATTAGTTTTACGATATGACCTTATATGACATAATATTTGTATATATATCCATCTATTAGTATTGTACTTGAATTATATTTAAAAATTTTGTATATGTCATTTTTATAAAATATAGGTTTTCATCCCTTCCCTTACAATTCTATGAAATTTTACTCAATTTTCCATATCATTAAATTTCAATAGATTATTTATTTTGTAAAAAAAAAACAAAACTAATTATTTATGTAAATATACGAGTATTTAAAATGTGTATACACACTAGCCTGTGTTGCAACCATAAAAAATCTTAATGTTTTTAAGACAGCCATGTAATTTTGCAATTGATAATTTAATAATTGAAGGCTTAAATATTATATGAAGAAAAGAAAAGTATATAAAAACTTCAAATCATAATATCAAATTCATCATAAATTCTATGACAATTCATCATAAATCAGGAATTTAAGAAAAATTCACATAATATGATCGCAAATATTTTTTTTCGATATTACTATTAATTGGTAAGATTTTGATAATACTTTGAAAATTTTTTGTATTTAAATGTAAGTACAATTATATAAAAAGATTATCATTCTTTCCACATGAGCGTATAATATAATTGTGTTTATAAAACATATAATATCGTAAAATTTTATGGAATGATTTGCGCGGGAAATTTATTGTTGTATAGTTACGCTGTCAAAAAGAGCTTTCCACATGTGAGAAAATGAGGAAAATCACAGGGAAATTTTTTGGTATTTTTATTTTTAAAACAGAAATTATAATTATATTTTAAAATACTATATTAATATAACTTAAATATAGGCACGTGACAGAATTTTTAGCATTTTTTAGCATGAACTATATACATATATATAATAAAAATACAGTCTTGTTATAATGTCCCGATTAATAGCAATATAAGATTATATACGAGAATTTAAATTGTATAAGGGCTTACAAATGTTTATATATATACCACATTATACACTCATGTAATATGTATAAATATATATGTATATAATCACATACCGTTACTAAAAACTACAATATTTTTACATTATAAGTACAACAATAATAATTTTTTTAATCGACGACAATCGTTATGCAATTTTTTATGAAAAATCAATGATGAAATTGTTTTTTTTTTTTTTAGATTTTCTATACATAAAAATTACCTTTTCAATTTATTTTAAATAGTTTAGAATAAATTTATTTCCTTAATTTTAAAAATTAAAAAATTTAACATAAATTTAATTTTTTTTTTAATATTTTAATAAATAATTTTTTTTATTAAAATCAAATTAAACATTAATAACTAAAAATAAGTAAACAACTAATTATTTATCGTAGAAGAGAAAAACTTTTACTAAAATGAGAAAATAGAACAAAATAAATTTTTCTATTTTATTAATTCTCTAAATGCAATATTGCAATTAAAGAGTTTTCTCTTTAAAATATAGTTTTACGATAAAAAAAATTGTTACGGTAATCAATACGATATAAAAGTTTATGAAAAAATCAAATCAAATTTTGTATTTTATTAACGAATTTTTTCTTTATTTCAAAAGAGTTACCATACATAATGAAAAAAACTAGTTTTGATTACTTTACTGTTCCTCAACATAAAATTATATAAATTATATTAAAGACTTTTTGGAAGGGCTCGAAAACACAATTAAAGATATTTTTTATTAATTCATAATATTGATATTGTTTGAATATTAATAAATTTATTTGTTCACCTTTTAATTAATTCCATTGACAAATAATTAAAACATTTCAATATGTGATATTTTCACAATATATCAGCATTTTTGTAGAATAATTTAAAATACTTTCTATGCTGCTCGTAAAAGACTAGAAAAAGATCTAACTCTAGTAAATATTTTAATTTACATTTTTGATTTTTTAAAAAAATGTTTCGTTTTCTGAAATCAGAACATATTCATATTAGTCAAAAAAAAAAGAATCACTTGGGGATAAGTTCGGATTGGTCAGCAAATACACTTATTTTTTACGTCAGAGGTCCAGAGCTAAAAATTAGGTTTATCTACAACAATTACATTTACATTGCACTCTGTGTGCTTACAAAAAAGTATTCGAAATTCACAGAACTCAACAAAATTGTTAAATGACAAATTAAAATCTATTGTGTTCGTTTTTAAAATTAGACCTCTTAGAATACAAAATCAGATCTGACATTTTAACTTCCCGATGTTTACCGATTTAAAATAAATTTTCGATTTAGTTTGGTTATACTGTACGATAATATGACACTAAAAATAATGTATGAATAGAAATCAATATTTGACAGTTGTCAATGTCATAAATTAACCCAATAAACTGAATTGACAGCGGAATTTATATAGATCGGAATTAAAGGTTTTCTGTAAAAATGTGAGTTTAATTTTTAGTGATGGTGACGAGATGAAATTTAAAGAAAAATTAAATTCAAAGTAAATAATCAAATGATATAATTATAAAAAATATGATATTAAAGGTTTAACGGGCTTATAGATTTAATTGGTAAGTTTATTTTAATAAAAATTAACTATTAATTGGAAGTAAACCTATTGACCCATACATGTGTAATAGAAAAAAAAAATTTTATAAATTCCAAATTTTACAGATTTTTTATATTTTCGTAAATTATTTAGTTTTTTTTGAAAATATATTTTAAGAATAAATCTCGATTTGTATGATTCAAAAATAAATTTTTTGTTTAAATTAAAAAAAAAGAAAAATTTTATAAGACTTAAATTCATACATACAATATCTATATAGGTATGTATGTTTGTACGAACATCAAAGTATGTAAGAAAATTAAGTTTCATTCATTTTCACACATTACACGAGAAAGCAGAGTAAACTCAAGTAGAATGCGATTGGTTCATTGGGAAAATCACATTAATTTCTAAGTTGTGTCAAATAAAATTATGCCGGTTTTCAAAAAATTTTTATTTTTATTGTGATCTCTTTAAAATTCAGTATACGTCGATATCTATAAAGAATTATTTTTATAAATTATGTTAATATTTTTGAAAACAACTTCAAAATTAAAGTTGCTGAAGCATAAAATTTTGGTAAAAGAAGAGTTCCAGTTTTTTTTTTCTTTATTGCGATTTACTAAATTTTTGACGTGTCGACGTTGGCACATTTTTAGATATTTTTTTTCGTAACTACACTAAATGTAATGAACGAGCATTTAAAGAAATTTTTTTTATGTTTAAGAAAAGAATACGCATCAACTTTTCCTATATATTATAAAAAAAAATCGAATAAAAATTTAAATTTCATATTCAAATTATATTAAAAAGTTTTGATTTAGTAGGTGCAAGTAGTGCGTTGTATTTTTATACACATATTAAAGAATTAAATTTTGAAGGAAGGGAAACTTTAGATATTTTCAAAACTGGCTTATATATATGAATAAATACATAAATAAGTATACCACTAACAATTTTCTTATAATTATATGATAATATATAGAATTAAAATTGTTTATTATTATTTCAAATTGAATATGTATGAAATTTTATAATTTTTAAAATTATAATTGTACAAAATATGAGTAATTTTTACAAAATATACTTAAGGATATAGTGTATAAGCCATTGATTAACTATACATGAGTAGGTACGTAGACTTGTGGCTTAGTTATGTATGAGATAAGGTATTATTTTGCTTATTTGTTTCTATACAAAAAAAAAAATCAAAATTATCTTCTTCGCATTCATTTTAACAAAAAAAATATATTTTATAAATTTTTATATAAGTGCATTTGTGTAGTACCTACATATGTTTTTATTAGTATAGAGCTATTCCTACGCACAATTTTTTCAAATTGAAAAATCGCAAATATTTTCTTATTTTCTTAATTATAAACAAAATAATATATGTACATGTGTATTTACAAAAAAAAAAAATAATTTTATTTGATATTTTATTTTTAGCAAATCCATATGTCGACCGTCCGTCGAACTAAAGCAAGGAAAAATATTAAATCCTGCAAATCAAAAACTATTAAATTTTAATTACTATCCAATCAATAAAAAATAATTGATATTTGAAAAGAGAAAAATTTGATTGACTTTTTTAAATTCTATTTTTAAACTGGGTCATCAACATTTATTTCTCTTTCAAATCATAACTCACACATGGCACAACATAATTCATCACAATCTTTGCATCAATCGCAAAGTCAGCAACAGCAACCGGCACAGCAACAACAACAACAGCAGCAACAGCAACAAAATGGTTTGACACAGGCACCGCCTCAAGTTGTTGCTGCTTCGCAACAAAATAATAATTTAGCAGCAAATTACCCTCATCATTATCAAATACCTGGAGGTGTTTATGTGCCAAGCGCAACTCCTCATGGAGGTGCCATCTATTCTGTTATGCCAACTGCATTACCAGGTAATGTGTTTGTTAATAATGTTACCGCAAATGTTAATTTACATGGTGCTTGGGCAACACATCCAGCTTATATTCCAGCCGGTCAAACATTTATACCAGCATCGAACGATATTCAACAAAATGTTGCTTCAATAGAGCCAGTAAGAATAATTAAAAAAAAATCCTTTTAATATAATTGAAGAAGATTCTAGTAAATTAATTTTATCCTTTTAGGCCTTGCAACCTATAGTAAGTCAACAAAACAATAATACTATAGCTAGAAACGGAAACCGCAGAAATCGCAATAATTCTAATCCTAGAAACAACAGTGTTAATCGCCGCAATGATTACAATCAAAGACCACATCTCAACAGTCCAGTCCCTCAGGATATTGCTAATGCAAATGGAATCGACCCTAGTAATCAAACTTTAAATCAGAGTTATCATCATCCTTATGGGTATCCTCAATTTGCTTGCCATCAGCCCCAATTTTTCAATCATGTACCGCCTCAACAAGTTTCTCATAGTCAAGCGCAACAAGCCACTGGAGCTCCACTGTATTTAACATCCATGTATGCACCGGGACCGCATTTTTTTAACTACCCTGTTATAATAAGTCCAGCGGCTCCAGCACATATGTTATCCCAAAGTGCACCCCAGTCCCAAGAATATCAATTAGGCGAAGAAAGAAATCCAGAAGGTGTCGTGGATCAGCATGGTCAACCAATTCATATTAATGTTGCTAGTGGAAACATGATACAACCACAATTATGGAATCCACATGAAATTCCTATAGAATATCAAGAAGAATATCATGTTATTGGAAATATTCCTAACAATGAAGGAAATGAGGATATTAATCATAATCCAGCGGTGTCTATTACAGACTCAGATACTCCGAGCATGATCAGTCCCAGTAGTTATTCGATACACTATGATCCAAATTTACAACTAATAGAAGCTCAACAGCATATGAGTTCTCTGCAAATATATGATCAACATGCACCTGTAAATGAGGATGAAATCCATCAACAACAGCAAATAATACAAGATCAACAAAATGAACAAAATTATCCAAGAATGCATGAACAAGTGGTAATGATTTCCCAAGAAGTTAGTGTGTATGAACAAGAACCAGGTAATTTTTGCCATATCATTTAAAAAGTTAATCTTATGGTATTAACTTTAATTATTTTAGTATGCGATCAAGCTGATATAATTCAAGGATTAAATTCTCCCTTGCAACAGCATATTGAACAGCAAAATGTTTATCATCAACAATATCAACAACATAATCTAGAACAAGGAGAGGAATACCCTCAACAACAACCTCAGTATAGAAATGCTTCTTCAGAAGACCGAGAATACAAAGATCGTGATGAAAATCATGACTTCAATCAGAATGTGCCAAATATACAAAATGAAAATGGAATGCACCAAGATAACGTGTTATGTGCTCAAGACATAGGCTTAAATACAAATAGTAATGAAAATATATCTGTTGCTACAAATTGTGAGGGACAACTTTCGGTGACAATGAGTGAAATGATATCTGAAGAAAATATACAACAATTTGAACCTGCAAAAGAATTCCATAAGTCTCTGGAAGCACTGAAAGTTGAGGAAAAAGTTATCAAAGCTACATCAACTAACGTTCAGATACAACCGCAACAACCTCAAACTCAAATCACAACTCAAGCAGTTCTTTTACCATATCAGCCTTTTCTTCCAAATCAGTCAGCTCCACAATCAACGGAAATTCAAACAAATCAAATTTTATTACCCCAAGTAAAAGCTGCTCCATTTATTCCTCCTCAAATAACGAAGAAAACAACGGCATCAGTCGCTGTAACTGCTACTCCAACACAACAACATATAACGACGCATGTGGGATTATCTAACAATCATATAACAACGATAAAACCTGAGTTTGATGCGAATATTTCTCCACCAACATCAGTTAATTTACAATCTAAAATAAATATTTCAAGTACGCAAAATGGTGTTCAACCTCATCGCGATCGAAGAACTCAATCAGGTGCACAAGTTGAACAAAAATCCATTGCTAGTACTGCAGTTCCACATCAAATTCAAGAAAATAATTATTTGCAATCAAACAATATTATTCAAGTTGAAGTGAAAAAAAGTGAGTTACCAATTATTGATCAAAACATAAAAAAAACAGAAAAAAAAGAAGAAGTGGCAGCTTCAAATATGGTTGTGTCAAATAAAGAAATAGACACAAAGTCACCAAATTCGACTGTACAACAGCCACAATCTGGTCCAAAGTCGTGGGCTAGTTTGTTTAACAATACTGTTCCTATTGCAAACAATCATTCTTTAGTTAACACGACATCTAATAATAATAGTGCCAGCAAGAAACCGGTCGCTAAAGTGTTACCTTTTGAAGGTACTGCAAACGTAAAAACTAGTATTAATCCAGGTGTTTTATCATATTCAGCGGCATCGGCTCAAGGTGCTTCTTCATCCAACAATAAACCCTCGGTATCAACACCTTTGGTATCATCGTCTCCAAACATTATAAATAGCCAAACAAACGGGGTAAAATCTGGTAAATCATTTTCAAATCAACAAAATATATCTGGCGATAATTCAGATGAATGGACAATAAAATATGCTGATTTCTTAAAAAAATATAAAACTGATTTTTCACCAGTTAGTTTAAAACCACGTGGATTAAAAAATCCAAATAATTATTGCTTCATAAACGCTGTTTTACAAGCATTAATTGGTTGTTCTCCACTCTATAATCTATTGAAATCAGCTCCGAAACAATCAGCCGCGTTGCATTTAGACAAATCGAAAATACCCACGATAAATGCTATGTCACAACTTATTTCCGAATTCAATACTTTACCATTTGGCGTTAGACTGATAAATCGTCGTGATAGAACTCAGAAACAAAATCAAAAGCAAATAAATAGTGATGAGCTAGTTGGCGAACTCCAGACTGATTCAGCTTTTGAGGCATCGCCCATATATAAATTATGGAATTCAAGTAGGCCAGATATTGACGAAGGAAGACAAGGTGATGCTGAGGAATTTTTAAGCTATGTTTTAAATAAGTTAAATGATGAAATGTTAGAGGTATGATATATTTTATATAAATTTTTAAAATTGTAATTGTGTCAATGATTGCTCCTTTTTATATTTAAGATAATTAAATTGATGGCAAAACCTGTTGCTCAAGTTCCTGTTCAACAAAATGGAAACGCATTTGGTGAAACTGATGAAGGAGGGGATGATGACTGGCAAGTAAGTATTTAATCATCGATCAGTTAAAAAGAAACCATTACTTATTTATATTCTAAAAAATTCTTCCAATAGATGATATACAATAACAAAAATAAAGGAAGTGTAACACGACAAACAGATTTTGGTAAAACTCCAATAAGTGATATATTTCGTGGTGAGTTAAGATCACGTTTACAACGTGAAGGAGAACATTCAACTGATGTTATTCAACCATTCTTTACCTTGCAACTTAACATAGAAGTAAGAATATAACAATAGAATTAAATAAAAATTTGTAAAAAAAAAATTTAATTAAAAATTGTAAATGTTTTAAATCAATTTCTTCAGAAAGCCGTATCTGTTAGAGAGGCATTAGAAATTTTAGTTGGTCGTGATCAGCTTGAAGGTGTTACATGTAGTAAAACAAATCAAGAAGTTGTAGCATGGCAGCAAATGAATTTGGAAAAATTACCTCTAATATTAATTGTACATTTGAAATTTTTCGATTATAAGTCTGACGGTTGCACAAAAATAGTCAAGCAATTTGAATTTCCTTTAGAATTGAAAATTGATACAAGTACGTTTAAAAAATTATCATCAAATTTCTTTATAATTATATTAATTTAAATAATAAAAATTTATTAGTTTAAATGATAATTTCTTTATAGTTTTATGCTATTTTACATTTTTTTGTAAATCTTTCACTTTTTTTTTCTATTACTAGAAATATTGGCTTCAAAGAAATATTCAGCAAAACAAAAATTGTATCGTTTATTTGCTGTTGTCTATCATGATGGAAAGGAAGCTATCAAAGGTCATTATATTAGTGATGTTTATCATAGTGGTTATTCAAATTGGTTACGCTATGATGATGCAAATGTTAAACCAATCGGTGAAAATAGTGTCTTACGTCCACGTGGTCTTCGTGTACCATATTTGTTATTTTATAGAAGATGTGATACAATACCAGCAACTTCTACAACATCAACACCTCAGCAACAGCATCAGCAACCACAACAGCAACATCAACATGGATCAACACATTCAAAATAAAAATTAAAATCAAAATTAAAAGAACATACATATTAAAAAAAAAATAACATAAAATATCTGTATAATTTAAAGTATTTTTTTTTATATGGATATATGCAATTAATTATATATATATACGTATAAAATATAAATATTATATAGTTTTTAAGAAAAATTTATTAACGTTATATATTCATAATAACATAAAATAATACAAATTAAGTTAATAATACAAAAACAAAAATTGAAAAAGAAATTATAGAAAGAAATTATATATAATATCGTTTTCAAATATTATATAAATGAATAAATTTAATATGGCATGTTATTTTATGAAAAATATTTTTATTCATTTTATTCTCTCTATAAAATTATATTGATAACTTTTTGTAATATTGTTTTAATACCATTATACATTTTTTTTATTTTTGTTTTATCTTTCATTTCTTCCGGGGGACATGTGTACTAAATTATTAAGTATTAGTTCTAATTGTGAATTAGTTATATAGAAAAAAATTACAATATTAAAAAAAATTACTTAAAATGTTAACAAGCAATTTTATTGCAAATTGTTCGTAAAAAAAATTTACAATTTTAATTTTGTTAACTAGGATAAAAGTTTTACCATTCACAAAAAAAAAAAGCAGTCGCTAGAACTTTCCCATAATTTTTGAACATAAAAAAACATTTAATTTTGTATTTAATTAAAATTTATTATGTCTATTGTACGATTTCTTTTTAATATGATAATTTTAAACATATATTTTTAAAATTAACATAACAAAGGAAAACACAAAAAAAAATATTTTTTCAAAAAAGAAAACAAAATAAGTAGTTTTTTTTATATAAAAAAAAAATAATTAATATAGAAATATTTAAATGTCATAAGAATTATATATATAAATTATTTTCAGATTTACTTTAATTTACAATAAAAAAATTTGTATATTTTTCTAAATTCAAAATAAAATAAAATACATTTTATATAAATTAAGCGCATATTGATTTTATATTAAAAAAAATATGATAAAAATATCTCTAGTCGAATATAAGGCTTAAAAAGTAATAGTTGAAAAATCAATAAACTCAAATTAATATCACGAAATATTTATAAATAGTGTGAATCAAAAATGTTTATAATTTGTTTGAAATTTTAATTGTAATATTAATTTTTTTTTTGTTAATTTGAATTAATATTAACTGTTGAAATAATGATCATTGAGTTACAAAAACATTATATAAACTCAATATTATTCATAATAAATAATATCTTGTCTGAGTAAAAGAAATGATAAAGTTCGAAAAATCCTTTAAATTTGCTTTAATAAAGTTGTAAAATATATACTATTTTTCAACAAATATTAGCTATATACTGTTCTTTCTTTCAGTTTCTTTTGATTTTTCTAAGCAACAACGTAGTTTGATTTGTATTATGGTTTTTCTAAAATAAAAAAAAAGATTTTAACATTTGAAAGTAATTTAAATAAAGCTTTTTTAAAAAAAATTTCTACATACGTGAAGCAAACTTATAAAAAAGGATAAGGCCAAAATTAAATGGATACGTAATACTTATCTAGCTATAACTAATATATTATTTCTATTTGTAGAAAACGTATATCAAATCTATTATCAAGAAATTATAACAATGCATAAATACCATTTTAATATTTTAAAAGATATATCACTATTCTAATTAATTACAATGCTGTATTTTGATTACATTTTTAAGGAGATAAGAAACTTTTTAAATTTGAATTCATCAGTATTATATGTACATGCAACTACTTTGTTATTTAGAAAAATTATTTATATTACACATGAATTTATGGATTAAAAACTTCAAAACATGTTTTGGTAAAGAAACAACACTCGATATTATTATTAAAAAACTAAAAAATTATTTTTTGTATTCAAAATTATTTATACTTGTTTTGTTTTTGTGTTTTAAATTTTCATCAAAAACAAAAATAAATGTTATATAATAAGAACAATAAAACTTTCTACATGTATTTTTTTATAAAATTTTTTATTTACAATTTATATAAAATGTTGTTTAAATAATATTTAGAGATTATAGTATAATCAGCAAATTGGCTCAGAACAATTCAGTTATAAAGTAAACTTAATCATCAATGTAGAAAACAAAATTAAATTAAATTTCTAAATAATGAATTTATAGTTTTGTAAAAAATGCAAATTCATGAAATAAAAATTTAAGATAAATTATGCAAGTTATAAAAAAAAAAAATTTCTGAAAAAACTGTCATTCTTCCTCTTAAATAATTTTTTAGAACAAATATGTATGCTTTCTTCAATTTTAATTGTAATAAATTTTAGATAGAAAGTTAAAGAAAAAAAAAGTTGAAACGTAGTAATTGAAAATGTGATAAAAAATTCGTTGAAAACCGTTTTACAATTAATTAAAATCTTCAAATATCCTTGCAAAATTGTAATCCAATATTTTAATCATTTAAAATTTTAATTTTTGATTATATGTTGTTCATAAAGTTGTTTTCGTATTTTTAATAATTAGTTTTGCTTTCATAACATTATTAACTATATAGCATTACAATATAAAATCAAAATAATCTAAATGTATTCTATATTATGAATTTAGAAATATCAATTTATGAACCTAATTTTTAAGGCCAGACGATGAATAACTAATGAATGTATTCAAATTTTGATATAATATTAATAGTCAAGTTTTTGATCAAATTCCTATTAGCACAACAAGAAAGAAAATACAAATTTAAACTGAATATTTTTTGAAAGAATTCAAAAATTTTAATTAGAATTAAAACATTTTCTTTTATAACGATCTAGGTAATCTAAAAAATAAAATTATTTTTACTTTTCAGTTATTTTGATCAAACAATATTTATTAAAAAAAAAGATTTAATTTTGATTTTAAGTAAAATTTTTGTTTTATAATTTTTTAATTTTATTAATTTATATTGTTTTATTTTCCACTTATATATTTTAAATTTAATATAACGTATTTTTGTTGCATGCAAACTGAAATATTTTTAAGAAAATTAAATTTTAATACATACAAGCGTATAATACAAAATATATCATTATTATATTATAATTAATAGGTATATGAAAAAAAAGGATCAAAATATATATTCTGAGCTATTGCATGATTTTTATTTGATAAAAAAAAACATAAAAATGGAATTAATAACAAATAATTAATAAATTATTATAAAAATAATTTATAAAGTTAACGTGTGCCAACTTTAAAATATTCTTGCGAAGACATTATAAATAACTAATCTACAAAGAAAAATAACAAATATAGAAAAAAAAAACAAAAAAAATTAGAATATAATTATAATAAAATCTTTTTAAATTAAGAAAAATACTATATTACTTATTATATACAAAAAAAAAAAAAAACAAAAAAAAAAAGAATTATTGTAATATTGAAAAAATAAATAATATGTAATTACTAATAATAATGATAATATATAAATTGTTAATGCCTTATAAAAACCAATAAAATAATTTAATTAAATTAAACAAAAACATAATTATAAAATAAGCCCATTTTAATAAAATATAATGAAAATAAAATGTAAAAACCTAATAAACATAAATGTAAGTTATTAACTATATTATATAAATAAATATAAAAATAAATTCCAGTTCTTAATAGTAACTAAAAAATTGCAAAAAATATTAAGCAAAAAAAAAAAAAAACTAACAAAAACAAAAATCAATTATCTAAAATAATCTTAAAATGTATGTATGTATTTGTATATTTTCTATAAAAATTTTAAGCATAATAATTATTACAAATAGAAGAAATGATTAATTTTTATGAATATTTTATGTATGTCATTAAATATATTGTGAACACTACGTAAATTCAATTAATTATCAATAAGTATATTGCAAAAGATTTTATTTTTTATTACAAATTGGTTACTAATATTTTCATAAATGACTGCAATTTATTGAAATTTCACACTGTAATAATGCATTATTTTAAAAAATTCGATATTCGCTAGTGTTTTTGCTATAATTTTTCTTCGAATATTAAAGTCGGTTTTTTAATAATACCGCGTTAACCAAAAATTTTGAAAAATATCTTATGTATATCCATTGAAATTATATAAAATTCATGATAAATGAACTTTTAATAAGTAAAATCATTTTTTTTTTTTTTCATTTATTGTCATTGATATAAAAAATTAATGTGAAACTTTCAAAATAAAACTTTAAGAACTCTATTTTCGAAATTCCAAATGTTAGTATAGGCTTTTTATATCAGCTTAATTGTGTTAAAATTGTTTTAATGAAACAAATATGTATGAGTAAATAAATAAGTCAATCCAATGTTTAACGTTCAATTTATTTTTATTTATTACTATTTATTTGGTTCCTTTTTATTTTTTTTTGTCAATGTAGATGCAAACAATTAATTGAATTTACATAGTGTATGTAATAATTATAAAATATATTATTATATTATATAAAAATCTATAATAATTTGCAAAATTAAATTATTGGATTATCAAATACAAATATTATTTTTCAAAAAAGAAAAAAAAATGCTAATTTTCAAATTACAATATTATTGTGAAAGAAATTTATCACTTGTTAATCCAGTAATATCGATATTTTATTTATTTTTATTGCTGTAAACAAATTGATGTTTAAGTTGAAATTGTTATTCAGAAATATTATTTCTTAAAAAAAAAAATATTTTGGTTTTTAAAATTAACAAAAATTATTTAAAGAATAATATAAAAAGCTAAAAAATAATCATATCGATAAAAAATAAAATTTCCTGGAAATGTATTTTTTCGAAATTACATTTTAATTTTAGATTATTTTTGAAGATAAAAATTTTATTTCAATTAAAAATTGAATAATATTATACATTAGATGGAGAGGTTGAATGAATTAATTAAAAAAAAAATTAAAACAATTATGAATGTGCTGAATATTAGATTTTTTCGTTATTACTATTTTATTGAATTTTAATTTCAAGCATTTTAATAACAAATAATTTTTAACGCGTTCAAAGAATTTAAAAAAAAATATTTATTAAATTTTAATTAATATACGTGAATTGTTTAAAAATATCTTATAATTTCCTTCTTTAAGTTTTTTTTTTTTTTGTTTCTTTGCTTTGCATTAGAAATATTTTCACATTAATGTATTTCTATTGAAATAGAAAAAACAATATTTAAAACACAGAATTTATTATTAAAATATTTTTTTTTACTTATTTCATAAAATTTTATAATTAATGTGATTTCAATGAATATGAATATCATTGCAGAAAATAACTT